TGCCTGCCTGCCTTCCTGCCTGCCTGCCTACCTGGATAATTGGATAATTGGATTGATGATTGAATGGATGGGTGGTTGGTTTCCAGCCTGCCTGTCTTCCAGCAAGCCTGCCAGCCAGTTTGCCTGGATATTTGGATGATTGGATGGATGTTTGGATTGGTGGGTTGGTGGTTGTGTGGGCGGTTAGGTGGCTGCCTGCCTGCCTTTCTGCCTCAATGATTGGATGGATGATAGGATGGATGGATGAAAATGTATGCTTCCGGCAGTATCAAGAGCAGATAGAAATAGCATTTCAACTTATATCCCACGTCACAGTGCTTTACAGCCCTCTCTAAGCCGTTTACAGGATCAGCATATTGCGCCCAACTATCTGGGTCCTCGTTTTACTGACCTCGGAAAGATAAAAGGCTGAGTCAACTTTGAGCCGGTCAAGATCGAACTGTTGACAGTTGGCAGAGTTGGCCTGCAATACTGCATTCTAACCACTGCGCCACTATAGCTCTTACCATTTCTTTCTTTTTCTTTTTGGATCAGGCTGGTTCTGAGTGCCGTGTCTGATTATTTTGCGGCGATGTTCACCAACGACGTCCGCGAAGCAAAACAAGAGGAAGTCAAAATGGAAGGTGTCGATCCGGATGCCCTGAAGGACCTTGTGCTCTATGCCTACACAGGTAAGTTCTCAGCTAGCTTCCATAGGCAGTCGTCCCCACATGTCCTTGTTTAGAAGGGTATGAAGCCAAACATTTCCCTGCATTTCCCCCCCATCACCTCCTCATTTTCTCACTTGATCTGTTGGCAGAAGAACTGTTGTTCTAGGATCCAATCTGGGTCAGTCACCGAGACCAGAAGTTTAGTCTTCTGACTCATGCTGGAGCCCATCCTCAGGGAACATCTCTCTGGTGGACTGTGTACCTCTAAGCAGACACAGGATGTCCACGACACAATTCAAAAGCTTGGAAGATTAGACTTCTCATCCCGATGACTGACCCAGATTGGATCCTACAACATTATCCTGGGGCATTATTCTTCTTGTTAAAAACAGACCAACAATAATTTGATGGAATTCTTTTGGACAGGAAGCAGAGTTCTTATAAAAGAAGGGAGTTTGTATGCACTGTACAATCATTCCCCTCGCAACCTTCTCGACTAAGCATGTTTTAACGAAGATCTTCACCCTACTTGATCTAGTTGGGTTCACAAACCGTCTTCACATGAAGCTCAAAAACCCAACCCAAGAAATTCCAAAGTTGACATAGCTTAGCTTTGGCCAATCAGCCAGGATGAGCCAGATACTCATTCAGTAAATATTTGACACATAAAATAGAGTTGTTGGCTTAATACTGGAGGTCACAACAGGGTAAATGGATTTAGAAAGATTGCTAAAAAAATGCATTACAGTAATGGTTTTGTCAAGATTGCACAAACCAAGCTTAGCTGGCTGGGCAAATATTGTTGATCTGATTAAGAACACCATGTAAGTTAGACACGGATTTCCAAACTATTCCCCATAACTCATGACCTTCCATACTTCTAAAGACCTTTTAAAAAAAATGTTTTTCATTTTCTCATGCTCTTCCTTCCCTCCTTCTTTCATTCCTCCCTCCCTTCCCCTTTCTTTCTTTCTTTCTTTCTTTCTTTCTTTCTTTCTTTCTTTCTTTCTTTCTTCTTCCTTCTTTCTCCTTCCTCCTTCTTTCTTCTTCATTCCTTCCTTCTTTCTTTCTCCTCCCTCTCTTTCTCCCTCCCTCCTTTTCTTTCTTCATCCTTCCTTCCTTCTTACTCTCTCCCTCCCTCCCTTCTTCCTTCCTTTTTTCTTCCTTCCTTCCTTCCTTCTTCTTCCCTCCCTCCTTCTCCCTCCTTCCCTCCTCTCCCCCTTCCTTCCTTCCTTCCTTCCTTCCTTCCTTCCTTCCTTCCTTCCTTCTTTCTTTCTTTCTTTCTTTCTTTCTTTCTTTCTTTCTTTCTTTCTTTCCACCCAGGCATGCTGGAGCTCAAAGAAGACACCATTGAGAGCTTGTTGGCTGCAGCTTGTCTTCTCCAACTTTCACCAGTCATTGAGGTCTGCTGCAATTTTCTCATGAAGCAACTTCACCCTTCAAACTGCTTGGGAATCCGTTCCTTTGGAGATGCTCAAGGATGCACAAAACTCTTACAAGTGGCCCATGTCTACACTATGGTAAGGATGGGAACTCAGTCCCCCATGTTCACTGCTTGACAAGGCATTGTGCTGAGGGCTGTGTTGGAAGAGGAATAAGAAGAGAAGAATAACAGAATAGCATAGTTGGAAGGGACCTTGCAGGTCTTCTAATCCAACCCTCGTTCAGGCAGGAAACCCTATGCCATTTCAGACAATTGCTTTCTCCTTAAAATCTTCCAGTGTCGGAACACTCACAACTTCTGGAGGCAAGTCGTTCCACTGATTAATTGTTGTCACTGTCAAGAAACTTCTCCTAAGTGCCAGGTTGCTCCTTTCCTTGGTTAGTTTCCACCCGTTGCTTCTTATCCTGACCTCAAGGTGCTTTGGAGAATAGCTTGACTCCCTCTTCTTTGTGGCAGCCCCTGAGATATTGGAACACTGCTATCATGTCTCCCCTTGTCCTTTTCATTCAACTAGAAATTAAAACTAAACTTCTTTGTGGCTGCCCCTTAGATATTGTAAAAGAGAGTCTGGGCCAGAAGCAAACAGGTTCAGATGTTACCCAAAGCTCAAAGACTCCAAAAAGAGGTTTCCATTCCTCTTTAAAACTTTTACTACAGATCTGGACTCTTAAACGTTTCCTGCTGGCTTCCCCAGATAAAATCACTTCCCATAAACAACCAGTGCTATTTTTGAAGTTTGCAACAATTCTTCTCTGGCTCCTTTAAAAAAAACAAAACATCGCGAAGGGCAGGAAGGTGTGGGGCCATCACCTCTTTGGTCACTCCCACCAAAGGCCCTTTTCTTGCATTTTTTTTAAAGAAACTGCATAGTCAGCAAGTGGAGGCACTTAAAAAAAACAGTGTTGTACAGGATCAACAGCTGCTAGCAAGCCGCTGCCTTAACAAGCAGATACCCCTGCATCTTTTTTATATATAAAAAATAAAGGCTATACTATACTGTTCTGACCCCCCTCCTTCTCCATCCAGGAACGAAAGCTAAAACAGACGTACGAAAGAATGTTTTAATCAGTNTCAGTCCAAACCAGTCTGGAGAACTGGGAGGTTTTGAGTTTAAGAAAGCAGGAAGGGAATCCAACCTTGATTTTTACATCTGATGTTATAGACCTATTTTTTTTTAATCCATGAAGGTTAAATCCATGATCCTCACTGACCCCAGAATGTCCGTTCTCCTGTAACGTAAAGCAAATTTTTCTCTAACTTTAAAAATACAGTTGTCATCTAGGAACTATGGAAAGGAGGCCATGATTGAGACAGGACGTTTGAGATAAATATTGAACACAAGGCATTATGGTTCAGTAGTATTAGACCTTTTGGCACTAAATTCAATGTTGGCATTTCTGGGCAGGCGGAGTCCTCTCTGATATCCAGCAGAAATTCCATCCATTTGTGACTATCCCAGATCAAAAGAAGGTCTATTGTATGATATGTCTATTGCTCATATCAGGCGCAAACTATCAGGACCATATGTTAAGTTCCAGTTCAGAAGATGTTTTGCTCAACCCTACACACAATAATTTGTTCAGCTAAAAAGTTCAATATTAAATTGTTCAATATAGGGGTGAATGGAGTTAGGCCATTTGTGGAAACGTAAAGATTCCAGGCTGATGACTCATTTAATCCCGCCTCCAGTTCTGCCTTCTCTTTTCCGACGGTTAACTCTTATCTGTGCTGTCCTCCTGCGATTTATTACCATAGGTTGTACGCAGTTGGGGGGCGCGATGGAAGCTCCTGCTTGAAATCCATGGAGTGCTTTGATCCCCACACGAACAAATGGAGCATCTGCAACCCCATGTCCAAAAGGCGAGGAGGGGTTGGCGTGGCAACCTACAATGGCTTTCTCTATGCTGTGGGAGGCCACGATGCCCCTGCTTCAAATCACTGTTCTCGGCTTTCTGATTGTGTCGAAAGGTAGGAGCTAAAGATCGAAAAATGTAGATGTGGGAATTGGGATTGGGCTAAGCGACGTATCTGTTAGATCTCAAACAATACTGGTCTTATTAATTGTCTAAATAAATCTACAGTTTAATAAAGCCATGATCCAGCTGGGCAACATTCAAAGGAATAGAAAATGAGAAAAACTATCCTATAGATAGATAGATAGATAGATAGATAGATAGATAGATAGATAGATAGATAGATAGATAGATAGATAGATAGATAGATAGANGGTCCTAAGCCATGTAGGGCTTTAAAGGTGATAACCAGACTCGAAGACCCGAAGTCCTTTCCAACTCTGTTATTCTGTATTTTTAAATTAAGAACACATCTCATTTTATCCAGCAGTATTTTGGAAGAACCTTACTGAGGGGAGAAAGTGAGAATATCTCTTATAAGCCATTGTGATTTTTCTAAGTGGTTGTATTTTTTTAATGGCGTTTAAATACCTTTTCTTTGTTGTCTTCTTAAGGAACATTTCACCGAAGTCATAAAAAACCAAGAATTTGTGTTACTTCCCGCTGGCGAAATTGCTAAGCTGCTTTCCAATGACGATATTAATGTCCCAGATGAAGAATCCATCTTCAAGGCATTAATGACATGGGTTCAGCATGATTTGGACAATCGGCAACAGGATCTCGGGATGCTTCTGTCTTATATAAGGTTGCCCCTTCTTTCTCCGGAGGTAGGTTTCTGTTAAAATATTCATGACTGGGAGAGACATGGGAGCAAGGTCAGCCAATGAATAAACATAGCAATGAAGTCAGCCAATAGGAGCTTAAACAGATCTGTGTCTGTGCAGAGAGTTGAAACAGAAACTTAAGCAGTCTGCTGCTCTGAGAAGTAAACTAGCAGTCTGTCTGGGCTTGTCTGCTGAAATGAAACTAACTTGCTTATGTTTGCTTGTAACTCTCCTGCCTTGTGTTTACTTGGAAGAACCACCTGTTGGTATTGTACATTTATTCATCTATTCTTATGTATACAAAAAAGTTAATTAAATCCAGCTGAATCAGTTATCGGTGTGTGAATTTAGGCAACAAACCCTGATAGGTTCGAGGTGGTACACTAGGAATATTCTCTGAATAGGTTCTTATACTGGAAAAGGGGGAAGGAAAGAGAAGAGGGCAACCAATAGCAAGGGCGATAGACTTAATCATGGTGCAAATGAGTGCAACATTGAACAGGTGCAAAAGATCATATTTATCTTGTCTGGTGGACATGCACATTAGCTGCATAACCTGTTTCCTAGTCTAGTTAACTCTGGAAGATTAATAATAGTGTTAATAAGGAATTGCTGATAGAAATGAATTCCTAATTCTTTCAGTAGGAATAATCAGATTATGTTTGCCTCAGCTTTTAGCTGATCTGGAAAACAGCCTCACGTTCACAACTGATCTTCAGTGCCAGAAGCTCTTAATGGAAGCCATGAAGTACCACCTTTTACCGGAAAGGAGATCCATGATGCAGAGTCCTCGGACAAAGCCCAGGAAGTCCACCGTTGGTTCCCTTTATGCTGTGGGAGGCATGGATGCCACGAAAGGTAAAGCCCACTGTTTTGATGAAGCGGCTTCTAAGATTATATGGAGCTCAGATCAGGATAAATTATTTCACTGCTATAATATCACTGAGCCAGGTGTATAAAACGTGGGATCGGGAGCCTATGTGTGGTCTACCAAACTTGCTTTTAGGATCCCAAGATCCCACAAGGTCTTATTTTTAGAGATGGAAGTTAAGTGGATATTACGAGGAAGATGAGGAGGAGGAAGGAGAAGCGGAGGAGGAAGAAGAGAGATAGAGGGAGAGAGGAGAGAGAGAAGGAGGGACGGAGAAGAAGGGAGAGGGAAAGAAGGAAGGAGGGAGAGAAAGAGGGACAGAGAGAGAGATAGAGAAGGAGCGAGAGAGAGGGACAGAGAAAAAAGGAGGGAGAGAGGAGAGAACGAGAGAGAGAGAGAGAGAGAAGGAGGTACAGAGAGAGAGGATGGAGAGAGAGCGAAGAAGAAGGGAGGGAGAGAGAAAGGGAGGGAGAGAAAGAAGGATACACAGAGAGAGAAGGAGGGAGAGAGAGAGAGGATGGAGAGAGAGAGAAGAAGGGAGAGAGAGGAGGGAGAGAGGGGAGAGAAAGAGAGAGAGAAGGAGGGACAGAGAGAGAGGATGGAGAAGGAGAAGAAGGGAGAGAGAAGAAGGGAGAGAGAGAGAAAGAGGGAGGGAGAGAAAGAAGGACAGAGAGAGAGAAAGAGGGACAGAGAGAGAGAGAAGGAGGGGGAGAGAGAGGGAAGGGAGGGAGAGAAAGAGAGAGAGAGAGAGAGAGAGGTGAGAGCTCCACTTTTAGGCCACCACACCACTCAAGGACTACCTGTATATGCAGATTAAAATAATGCATTATTCTTTTAATGATGAATCCATTGAAATTAAATCAGATGATTAAGGAATCATCGTAGGAACGTGATTTCCCTTTTTTTGGGGGGCTACTTTTCCATTTGCATTTCCAACAGGCACCACCACCATTGAGAAATATGACTTGAGAACCAACAGCTGGATACAAATTGGGACGATGAGTGGAAGGCGGCTGCAGTTTGGAGTTGCGGTGATCGACAACAAGCTCTACGTGGTGGGAGGAAGAGACGGCTTGAGGACATCCAATACAGTTGAATGTTTCAACCCGATAACGAAAGTCTGGACTGTGATGCCGCCAATGTCAACCCATAGGCACGGCTTAGGTAGGATGGACAGAACTGGGATTCATGGAGAAGTATAGTGAGATATACGCAGGTAGATCTCCACTTGCAATTATTAAGTGGCGCAGTGGTCAGAGTGCAGTACTGCAGGCTACTTCTGCTGATTGCCGGCTGCCTGCAATTTGGCAGTTCAAAACTCACCAGGCTCCAGGTTAACTCAGCCTTCCATCCTTCTGAGGTGGGTCAAATGAGGGCCCAGATTGTTTGGGGGCAAGAGGCTGACTGTAAACCGCTTAGAGAGGGTTGTAAATCACTGTGAAGCAGTATATAAGTCTAAGTGCTATTGCTATTGCTATCACAAGACCCCA